CTAAACCATCAATTTAAGAAGCTAGAAAGAACTACATTAATATGCCTAAAAGTACCAAACGCAATGAGAAGTAGTAAAAGCAAAGTAATGAAATACAAGCATCACCAATACTATCCAGGAAAGGCAGCACAAATAATTTAGGTTGTATAATTTCTGAGACTAGTAAAGCTATGGTGAAAAGTTTTCCCTTATATTTTCTAATCCCCCAAACTGGAAATTTAAAAACATATAAAGGTTCATCAGCGGAATTCTTCAATGTTAGCTAGCTTGCATTATAAAATGGTATTTAATGACTTAACAGGAGATTCTATATACACTGATGTAGAGTAGGTTGGATAACCTTGTGCACACTTAGGCCTGCCTTGAGTTGTGCCACATTCAGATACTCACACTTTTATTTTCCTGATATTTTTATTTAAATTTACTCACTTCAAAGAGAAAAAAATAAATTCCTTGTCATTTTACAGTAATATCTATGAAAATGCAAGGTTGATCTGTTGGATGTATTTTTCTATCACATAGTAAAATGGATGCATACCAATCGTCTTATTCAAGGGGCTTCCTTGACCCATGGCCAAGGAACCCCAGATCTTTGGATTGCAAGTCTGAGGGATTGCCCATATTAGATCTGGTTTAGACCCACTTATCACAGTCTTTTCTGACTTGTAACAGGCCAGCCTGTGCCAGAATCTCTTTCTGAAGCTGCTTAATGGACTAGCTACTGGACCAGCCAACTGGAGTCCATCAGAAGTTATGGACGGGGATGATTCTGAGTCTCAAGAGCACCTCCCTGCTTCCCTTTTTACAACTGTAATTGATATTGTCAGCCACAGAGATCAATGGAAAGAATCAAAGATGTGTATTTGTCTCAAACTTCAAGGTTTCTCTGATTCCAGGAACAAGCAGAGGAGAATCACAATACATATTTACATATTTATTTTCCCCAGGCTACATGTGCTTAGTGTCTGGAGGAAGATTTTACTGACTCTTTTCACAAAGAGGAGATCTCCCCATCTAGCTTATAACCAAGAGTTTGCAGAACTTACTGAGTGAATAATAATGCCTCCTCCAATTAAACTAAATAATCCCCCAAATGATAGAAAGGATCCAAGTCCCCCAGGTGCTTCCATCACTTCAGAGACCTGCAATAAGCTGCTGTTTAGACACCATGATATGTTAATTTTATTAAAATCATAATCATTCACTATGTCAGTCAGTCCAACAATCAAAAATAAATTCCTGAGCACAAATTCTATTGGATGAGAGTACATTCAGTGCTGGAAACTATCATAGTGGAGTTGGGAAAGGCAGGGAAATTGGAAGGGAGGGCAACAAGGGAATCTGAGCAACATCCTTAGGATGCTTTAACACTCCTATACCCATTCCAAGTCATCTCAGTTTGCCTGGGATCACCAGAGTAACAACTCCGTGTAGAATCTGTATAGCAAGGTAATTCTCTGTACAACTAACCTGTAGTAGGCCCGAGGGACTGGGAGGAAAGCGTTAGATGCAGCCTGAGAAATCAAAATCTGGATAAATGCAATAAAAAAATCTGTCTTGAGGATGCGACCAGGATTTGACACTGTGTTTCCTTATCTCAGCTCTTAGAGATGGCTTCTGCTATCCTGTCCTACTTGACTGATGGATTCATTGATTGGTTTGTTGAGTTCTTTTCTTCTCTTTTTTCAGGGAAGGGTTTACAGGGTGTTCAGGGTCTCACTACTAGATCAGACTCATAGTGATCCACCTGTTTACAGCTTCCCAAGAGCTGGGATTACAGGCACGTGCTATCATGCCCAGTCTCAGTTTGTTGATTTCTTGATGGGGGTCCTCTTTTGACTTCTTATGGGTCATGGTTCCTTTTACCTGAGAACAATACTTTTTTTAAAAAGTTCATATCCATTTATAAAAGTACAACCTGTTAGATTGTTAAGAGTTACACAGACCTTGAGAAAAAGCAAAATGGGTTGCTCATGTCCAGTAAATACATTTGAAATATCTGAAACATTTCAAAGAAAAGCTATAGTCCACCTTCATTACTTGATTCAGACCCATTAGAATAATACATTCCTGATTTATCATCGTAACTCCTGAGCTAATTCCTTTTCTCCTTTCTCTTTCTTTTTTATTTAACTGTTTACCCTATTTGCCTCATAACACAATATTGTTTTCTTATGAGATTATTAAATCCCTGAGCCCTGAGTAAGAAAGCTATGTTTAAAGTCTTAATTCTGAATTTCAATATCTGTGTGATCTTGGCAAATTTCAAACTCTGCAGGCCTCAGATTCTCCACACATAAAATAAAGATAACACATGTGATAACTTAGGAGAATTAAGTGAGATAGCCTGTGCCCTGCTAAGCAATGATTAAATGTTAACTATTAACGTTATTCATACTAACTTACCAGTAATGAGGAAAGTACCAAGTGGCTTTGTTTTGCATACATGTGTAGCAAGTCCTATTCATTCTATACTGGACAGGATTTCTTTTTAGTTTAATAAATATCCTAACTTTATCAAATCTTCTTAAATTTATCAAAGCCATTAATTTTTTTTTAATGTAGTACCAGGGATTGAACTCAGGACTCTGCACTTGCCAGGCAGGCAAAGTCATTAAACCTTAACTTTAGATTTGGTGTTATTTATACTTAATGATCTTACATTCACTTGTCTTATTTTTGTCATAAATAATGTTTAGTAGGTAAAATATCTACACAATAATTACATTATTCTGTAAGCTGAGAAACTTTATTAGTATGATGCAATTCATTGTTCCATTTATTATGAATTATTATTAATTCACATAACACTACATAAAATATAAACTATTCAATTTTAGAAAAAAAATCACAACTAGGAAGTAAAAAAATATGTGTCAAGAGGCAAATATGTAGCACATTTTATAAAGCTTTGATTTTTGTTATGCTTCCTGTTCACTTGATTTACAGTAACATACAATAAAATATTAAGCAAACTGAAGTAAAATATTTTCTCCTATGTGTACCATTGACCTTTACCCAGTCAATATCTCCTAATCAGCAGCAGAGATAACTTTAAGGAGTATATATACACGGAGAAAAAGAAGGTACGAGGTTTTGTACAACTTGAGAGGAACAATGGGGTCACTCAGGGCCCTGGCTTCCCTCTTAGTCCTACACCTGCTGCAGGGCTCACACGCATCCCTAGTGCAACTGAAGGACAATGGCTATGAGGACGTCATCATTGCTATAGATCCTGGTGTGCCAGAAGATGGAGAAATAATTGAACAACTAAAGGTGAGGAGAAAGGGTGCTTCTTCTCTATGAATTGGGGGGGGGAGCTACTAATGATGGGTTATTTTGGAACTCTGGATACTATGGAAGTTTAGAAGCTGCTTGGTGTAGTAAGGACAGTGCTGGAGGGGCAGAGGGAGACAGAGTCCTAGACAAGGTTCTACCACAAGACCAAAGACAGGCTTGGAGTCTCCCTGAGCCTCAGTTTCCTCATCTGTAAATCAGCTGTTGGACTAATACATTGTATAATAATTATCTATTGAATGTTTATGGCATACTGAGGGAGAGAGAAGTGAAAAGGTACCTGGCATAATAAGGTGTATACTTTTAAGTGTATAATTAAGAAAAATGAATGAAATAGGTCAGATGATAGGTTTCTGTGGAGTATAATAAATAAAGAAGGAACATATAAAATGTGGGGTGTGGCTTGCAAAGGGGAGAACATTCTGCGTGGAGGACAGCAAGGGAAGACCTCGCTTACGTGTAACACCTGGGCAGAGACTGAGACAAGTGAGGGAAGACCTCCTCAGACACTGGCAGGATAGGATCAGAACAAAGGATAGAAACCTTCTTGAGATGGGGGCTTGCCAGTTAGCTCAGTTGTTTAAAGTGCCTGCTTGGGCAAATTCAGTTAGGCACAGGGGACCACAGTTTGATCCCCAGCTCCACAAGTTGCACCACACCCACCAAAAAGGCAGCCTGAGCTAGCCAAAAAAAGAAAGAAAAACAAACCTGCTTGAAGTGAGTAAGGAAATGACAATGAATTAACAGGAGAAGGTTTGGAGGAGGCGAAGCTGCAGAGAGCCCTGCCCAGGCCACTGAGATAACCTGGGCTCGAGATGGTCATCCTTGCAAGGCTCTTAAGTAGGAGGCATGCTCTAGGATCACTGTGACTGGGACATGGAGAAACCAGAGAGAGGCTTCCCTGTCACCCATACTGTACGAACTCTGCTGCAGCATAGGGCATGGAAGGACTAGGTAGGGAGCTGCGGCAGATGAGCAGTTATTGGCCAAGACAGGGAGATTGTTGTAGAGATCACTAAAGTAAGTGATTCTAAACATACTTTGAGAGCATCAGAGGAAGCATTTCTTGATGATTGTAGGACTCTGATAGGGAGGAAGAAAAACATAAGAGTCAAGGAGGCTTCAAAATTTTGCATGCATGGAACAACCACCAGCTAGGAAATAAAGACTTAAAATGGAGACAATTTGACAATTCGGCGATCTAAAGATAGTATGGCATATTTTGAAGTTGAGATGCTTTTCAGACATCCAAGAAGATGGAAATAGGAATCTGAATTTATGATAAAAATTCATATGTAGGTTAAACATTTGAGAGTCATCAATGTAATGATAATGAGTTCATAGATGACAGGAAGTCCTTCAGCAGAAGAGAAAGGCTACTGGACTAAACCGTTGGCTGATTTTCTAGTTATTTCCAATTGTGATATCCTACGTAGTATAAAGATCAGTGTTTCAACTGCATGACCACTTATTCTGACTGGCATCACCACCTAAAAATTCATTGCAAAGAAAATTCCGTGTGTTCAAGACCTCCAGAGCTCACTGTTCAAGCTATCTAATGTACATGACCTGAGTTGTGATTTGACATTTCCACAGCTGCCCTTCTTTATAAATTCTGTGTAGCATGCAGTTGTTTACTTATTGCTACCTTTTGAATTGCAAGAGAGAATAAAATTTTGCTCTTACTAAACAGCATGGGGGCTCAAAATGAGTAGCATAGCTGATTCTGAATGAAATATTTTTAATGTTTCATTGAAACATTTTTTAATGTTTCATTGAAGCTGAGATAATTAGTTTCAAACTCTCATTAACTCAAATATCAGCATCTGACAGAATTATTTCTGTAACCTCTTAATCTAGTCCTCTACTGGCACTGCAAATAAAATTAAACTGCAAACCTACCCAGATTTCACAAAAATTTTCTGTTTGTTTTCAATTTTTTTAGGTGGTAAATTACACATAGCATAAAATTCATCACTGTAACTATTTTCAAGGATATAATTCAGGAGCATTTATTATATTCATAATATTATACTGTTATCACCACCATCTGCTCATAAAGTATTTATCACCCCAAACAAATTCAATATCCACTAAAATAACTTAGTTTAATGGTGCTGAGGATTCAGCTACAGCTTTAGCCTCTTGATTTTTAATTTATTTATTGGTACACCTTTGTGGTACATAGTGATTATGTCATGGTAATATGATGTTAAAGACATCAGCCCTTTCAGGAAGAACCTAGAGGTGGACTAGCCTGGTCAAATGGAATTTTATTTTACTCCTTGAAAATCTATACTTACTATCATAGTGGCAGTACTGGTTTACATTCCCATCTAAAATATGAAGGGCTCTTCTTAATGGGAAGCCTCACCAAGATTTTTCTTGCTTGACTTCATCATGATAGCCACTGTTTCCAAAATAAGGTGCAACCTTCATATAGCTTTACTTTACATTTCTCTAACGATTAAAGATATTGAACATATTTTTCATGTATTTATTGACAGCTGTACCTCTGAAAAGTGTCTGTTCATTTCACTTTCCCACAGTTTTTCTTTTTTGGAGTTTTTCAGTATAAGCCTCATTTTATTTTGTATAGCCATAGTAGCCATAGTACATTTGTTAAAACTAAGAAATCAACACATGTTACATTACTATTATCTATAAACCCTAGACTTCTGTCAGAACTCTTTAAAACTCTAGTGTTTTCATTTAGAGGGTCCTTCTCTGGTGCGCCATTTCATCCAGGATAGCGTGTTACCTTTAGTAGTCATGTTTCCTTAGTCTCATGTGCTCTGTGACTCTTTTCCAGTCTGTCTTTGTTTTTAGTGACCTTGACAATTTTAAGAAGTACTAGTTGGACATTTTATAGAATGTCCCATGACTGAGATTTGTCTTTTTTAGCTGTTATGATTAGACTGGGGTTATGAGTTTTGGGGGCGAACTCTGTATAAGTGAAGCGCCACTCTTAGGGACATCACACTGGCCCATGTTTTGACTGAGTCTTAATTTATCAGGAGTCTAATTTTTTTCATTCTTTATGCATTCTAGATATTAGTTCTCTGTCTGATCAACAGCTGGCAAATTTTTCATTCTGTAGATAGTCTCTTCAGTTTATTAGCTCCCTTTGCTTTACAGAAGATTTTTAATTGGATATGATCCCACTTGCTTGGTACTGTTTTGCAAACAGTTTGGATTATGTTTATAAAGTTCCTTGCTTCCACGTATGCCTTCAAGAGTTTTAACTATTTCATCTTGCAGTTGATTAAGTGTTTCTGTTTTCACACTTAGAACTTTGATCCATTTTGTTTTCAATTTACTCAGTGAAAGACATGAGTGGAAAGTCAATGATCTGGATATCCAGGTTTCCCAGAATCCTTTGTTAAAGAAGCTGTCTTTCACATGTTTTTCGGCCCCTTTGTCAGAATTAGATAGCTTCGTGAACCTGGAGTGGTTTCTGCTTCCTCTGTTCTGTTTCACTAATACAGATTTTTTTTTTTTTTTTTTTTTTTTTTTTTCAAAATTTTTTTTTTTTTTTTTTTTTTTTTTGCCAAACATGCTATGTTTATCATTGTAGGTTTGTAACAAAACTTGAAACATGTATTGTGCTGTTGAACATCCTGCTTTGCTCCTGTTACCCAGGATTGTTTTGGCTATTCTGGGCCATTTCTGGCTCCACATGAATACCAAGATTATTTTCTCTGATTTTGTGAGGAATGTTTTTGACATAATTAAGAGTGCATTAAATCTGTACACTATTGCCATTTTGACACTATTGGTTCTGCCTATCCAGAAACAAGGAAATCTCTCCATTTCCTTATGTCCTCTTCAATCTCTTTGTTTACAGTACTAAAATTTTCTGGGGAGGCCAGATAGCTCAGCAGACCATAAAGTGCCTACTCAAGCAGAGCTCAGCAGCTGGGGTTCAATCCTGCCCCTAGGGCGTGCTGAGACCAATTGAGACTGGGTGGTGGCACCCACTTTTAATCCCAGTGCCTGGGAGGCTGAAAACTAGAGAATAAAAAATAAAACATAAACCAGCCTGGGGAGGTAGCTCAGTAGAATACACGCTTGCCTGGCAAGTGCAGGGTCCTGAGTTCAGGGAATTTTCTTCACAACAAATTTTTAGATGGTGATATCAGACAGAATAATTGATCATGCAGTTGAAACTCTGATCTTTATACTATGTAGGATATCCAGTAGCCTTTCTCTTCTGCTGAAGGACTTCCTGTCATCTATGAACTCATTATCAATACATCCATGACTCTCAAATGTTTATCCTACATATGAATTTTTATCATAAATTTAGATTCCTATTTCCATCTGCTTGGATGACTGAAAAGCATCTCAACTTCGAAATATGCCATACTATCTCTAGATTGCCAAATTGCCAAATCGTCCCTGGGAAAAATGTGTATTCTGTTATTGGGTAGAGCACTTGTAGATAGCTATCAGGTCCGTGTATTTGAATGTTTCACTCAACTTACATTTCTTTGGTGATTGTTTTGTCTAACTGATATGTTAGTGAAAATGGGCACTGAGTTTCTCCCCTATAATGGGCTTGATGTTTATCTGATCTTTAATTTTCAGTAGTACTTGTTTTGTGAGTTTGCGTGTGTCATGATTCAGGGCATTTGTGTTGATAACTGTTATCTCTTCCTGTTGCATTATTCCCGTAACCAATATGTAGTGGCCTTCTTTGACTCTTCTAATCAGTTTTGGCTTGAAACCCACTTTGATAATAGGATAGCAATTTCTGCTTGATTTTGACTTCCTGTTGCATGGAACATCGCTTCCTAACATTTATTTTGTTAGTATATGAGCTTCTTTTGGGATTAAATGTGTTCTTTTTAAATAAAGCATGCCATTAGCTTTGTTTTTTTTCATCTATTCTGCCAATCTGTGTCTTTTGGTTCGATAACTGAGACCATTCTCAGTGAGAATTATTACTGAAATAATTTATTTATTCATGTCATTAAATTGTTTTCCTGTTGCCAACTCTCTTTTTTTCCCTTTTATTTCACTGCTTACTCTACTTGGTGTGTTCATTTTATTGACCCTTTAGATAATGTCAGCTTCACTGTCTTGTGAGGGTATTGACAATTTCTTTGAGTGCTGGTTTAATGGTTATGATTTTTAGGTAATTTTTATCATGAAAATCTCTCATTTCT